ACTCTAAGGATGTGAGTGAAGTGAGGTGCCAGTGGAGAGCCTGGAGCAGAGGAGTGATACAATCTGTTACTCTGCTTCTGTGCTGAGAGAGACTGCAGAGGTAGAAGTAGGGAGACCCATTAGGAGCAATTAGGTAATTCAAGCAAGAGGTGATGGTGGCTTAGATCAAGGTGGCTGCAGCAGAGTGGAGTCTGAATATACATACATAAGTATTTTTAAGTTTGTTATTAGAAAAAATTCAAAATTAGAAAAAAGCTGCAAGGAACAGTAAGATAAATACCCATAGACCCTTCATCTAGACTCACTATATTTACCTTATCACTTTTTCATTTTTGAAGAATACCCGTATGGCTATTTTACAGAAGAGCCCTCAATTTGAGTTTGGCTAGTATTTCCTCAGAATTTTTGGCAGGATAACTCCATAAATAATGCTGTAAGCCTTCTCAATGCATAACATCAAAAGGCACCATCAGGCTTGGTGTCAGTCTGCCCCTACATTGGTGACATTATCTTTGAACACCTGAATAAGATGTCTGCCAGGTTTTTCCACTGTAAAATATCATTTTTCCCTTGGTAATTACTATGTAACCTATGTGGTGATAGTTTCAGATGGCATAAATGTCCTACAACTTATCCCACTTATCCAAGATGCACCAAGGATTCCTACCTGCATCAATTATTACTATAATTCCAAAATCTTTTTATTATCTATTAGTTGGAATTCCACTGTAAAAAAGAACTCTCCCTTCTTCTTTCTTTACTTATTTTCAGTAAGTATGTATTTATTATCAGTTACTTATGTAGCCATAGATTCCTTTTCCATTTAATAGGCTATCAATTTTCTGTCATTACTAATTTTGTTTCTAATGCCATCCTGGAAGTGTCTTTAGAAAGCTGGCAGGTGGAAGTGCCTTACTTTTGGAATAACAAGATGTTCCAGGCTCATCTCTAGACTTTCCCTGCCCCAACCTCATAATTAGCCACTTCTCCAAGGAGTCCCAATTCTGGATATGTTTTAAGATTGTCAAGTAGAATAGCTATTTAGTGTGAGAGGGAAAAGTAAAGGGTGACTTGACGCATTTTGGTTTGAGGACCTGGAAGGGCAGAGTTGTCATCAACTTAGATGAGCAAGGCTGCAAGAAGAGCAGGTGTGAGTATGTGTCGGGGAGAGGAGGTCAAGCACTCACTTGCGGGCAAGTTAGTCTGCAACATCAAACAGACATCCAAATAGAGCCGGACATTAGTGTCTGGTGTCCAGGAGAAAAGCTTGAGCTAAAGGCATAAATTCAGGAATCCCTGATATATAGATGGTATTTAAGCGATGAGACTGGGTAAGGTCACCAGGAGAGTGTGCATGTGTAAAGAGCAGGAGAACAAGTGCTAGGTGATGGGCCTTTTCTATGGGAGGACAAGTAATCATCAAAGAAGACTGAACAGGAATTTCTAGTGAGGAGGAGGGAAAACCAAGGGACTTTGTTTTGGACCATGGGGTCCTAAAAGGCAAAAGGGAAAAGGGTAAGAAGGATGAACTGAGTTAAATGTTGCTGAAAGTTCAAACAAGAACCGACAGCTGCCTGCTGGCTAAATATTAAAACATAAGCTCCAAAGGGGCAGGGGCTTTTATCTGTTTTGTTCAATAACATACCCCACATGCTCAGAACAGATCCAGTATAAACACTCAATAAATGTTTATTTGTTGAATGAATAAATGAATGTGGAGGTTGTTGGTGACCTTAACAAAAATAATTTTGGTGGAGTGATTGGGAGAAAATGCTAATTGAAGTGGGTTTGAAAGATATGGCAGGAGAGGAACTAAAGACAGTTTGAGTGTCAGGAACTCTTCTGAGCAACTTTGCTGCAAAGGGAGGAAGAGAAATGGGGCTCCAGTTGGCTAGGGAAGTAAGATACAGGAAAAAAGTTTTTGTAAACAGAAGAAACAAAAGCATGTTTTTGTAGGCGATAATCTGATAGAGAGGGAAAAGTTTATGTAGGAGAGGGGAGACTTCCTAAAGCAATATGCTTGAGCAAGTGAGAGGATGAGCTCTAATATATATTGAAAGTATGGCTTTCATACAAGATGGGATACTTCATCTTGAGTAACAATGGGAAAGTCAGAGTATATGGGTATAGATGCCAGAAGGTGTGCAGATGTGGGAGGGGAGCCTATGGAAGACAGGCCATCAAATCAAAGTATAATAAGATGGGGGAAGAAGGTATAAAATAGTCAATCAGGAAAGTGGGAGAGTGAATGAACTAGGGAACTATAGCATGTCTGCCAGCCACCATTAAGGACCTACTTGAGGCTGCTGGTCAGTAAGTAATTTTAAAAGATTACATAAATTCCTGGCAACTTATCCCAATGTAAGGAGAATGTCATTCTCAATCTCTGCTTTTTAAGTGCATTCGTATAATATGCCATCCATTTGAAGCCTGTTAGTTTTACTAAAAAGATCATTTCAGTTCATAATCTTTGCATATTGTGGCTGAATGTATAAACCTCCACTGCATGTTTTCCAAATTCTTAAGCACTATGTTGCAAACTATTAGTCCCCTACTTAAAAAAAAAAAATCTATCATGACCTCTAGATAATTTTTTAGTTGTATAAAAATAACTGAATTATAATGAAAGCCAGAACTTACAGATGCAAGATGAGGGAATTTCTAACAAAAAATTAGGCCAAAGATTTTTAGTGGAGGCGAAGCTGACTCTTTACTCTGTTTAGTCTGATTGCAAAAAATGCTGGTATTAGTTTAGTGCTACTATAGGAAGGTATACATTTAAATATTATTCATATTTGTTACGCAATTCTACATTTTTGCTTGTTTTTACTGCAACTGTGCTAATGATACATTTATAGAAATGTGCAATTCCGATTTTCAAGAAGGTTTGATTAAACATATCTTCTAATTTCAATTTCTTAGGTGGCTCAAGATTTAACTTCCTAAATGCCCTGAACAACTGGTTTTTTTTTTTTCTGGTTTGGGTTTTTTGTGGCTTCTTTCTCTTCCACCCTACCCCCCACTCTACCATAAATTAGAAAGTATTACTGAAATACAAGATTAGAAGAACCACAATAAAAATTAAAAATTCTTATTATAAATTTTAAACTTATGGTTCTCATTAGAGAATCAAGGGACTGCACAGTTCGTTAGTGTTCCCCAGATGATTCTGATATGCTATACTCCCTGTACTCTCTCTGTCTGGTTGAGAAACACTAGCATTGGAAAAAACAGAATCCTCCTTTAAATAACAATAAACAATTTCTAGAGAAATTCTTCTCAAACTTCAATGTGCAGACATATCATGTAGGGATCTTGTTAAAATGGGAATTTTGATTTATTAAATTGGGTGGGGCCTGGGTTTCTGCATTTCTTATAAGCTCCCAGGCGATGCCCACACTCCTGGGTCTGCAGATGTCTGAGAAGCAACGTTGTACAGAACAATCACATTTTAATTTGTGTGAGACTGTTTATTCTTTGGAGACAGAATAATAAAGCAAGCTTTCAATTATTCATCAGTTTTATATACACTTGTAGCTTAAACCCAGGCAAACTCTCATTTTCAAAAATACACTACCCTTGCTCACTGCCTAGAAGTGTATAAATGGGGAACAAAAACTAACACAAAGCAAACTACTCAAATATAGTAAATTTCAAATATCTGTTATTTGCTTCTTTAAAGCAACCTGGAAAATGGCAGGCCAAATGTGTATAATCAGATACATGCTGCTTAAAAAAAATTCTCAACTGCAAGTACAACTTTTGTTATATCTCCAGTCTCCGAAGAAATTAAAACTAAATATTACTAAAATTACTCAGTTGACCATTTGACTACAATAAGTAGGAGATTGGACACAATGATTAAGGCTATCGTCAGTCTGACACAGTTGAGATCTCCCTGTGAATATCTAGGGAATACTTCCTTAAAATAATAATAAAAAAGAACTCATTTTCTCCCTTTCATTCTTCTGAAAAAATGATGTTAATGAACTCTGACCCTTGCTATTGATTCAAGTCATACATAGTGGAGAAATAAACTTCCATTAATCAAAGTTATAAACAAAAAAATCTAATCCTTAGCCTAAACAGGAGATAACCATTTAAAACAAATGAAAATCTATGTTGGCCTCTAGGAGAGAATATTAGTGAACAGTACAAAATCCATACCCTGTGGATCATAAATTTTAGGAAGGAGAGACAACAATAAACATAATACACGACTAAGCATATAGTACATTAGACAGTGATTAAAAACCATGCAAAAAAAATAGGGCAGGTTAGGAATACTAGGGGTGTGGGGGGGGAAGTGTTGGGATTTTAAATAGGGTAGTCAGGGTAGCGTTCATTGAAAGGGTGACACGTGAACATAATTCCATCATAAATGAGGAAATTAGGCATGCAGATATCTGCAGAAAAAGTATTTGAGGCAGAGGAAATAGCTCAGGCAAAAAAGCCTTGAGGAGGAATACAATGCCTAGTGAGTTCAAGCAGAGCTATGTGGACAGAGCAGTGGATGGGATCTAGTAGGCCAGGGTGTAAGGGTGGGGAGACAGCAGAAGACATAGGTACTTGATGATCACTCTAAGGATGTGAGTTAGTAGGCCAGGGTGTAAGGGTGGGGAGACAGCAGAAGAGATAGGTACTTGATGATCACTCTAAGGATGTGAGTGAAGTGAGGTGCCAGTGGAGAGCCTGGAGCAGAGGAGTGATACAATCTGTTACTCTGCTTCTGTGCTGAGAGAGACTGCAGAGGTAGAAGTAGGGAGACCCATTAGGAGCAATTAGGTAATTCAAGCAAGAGGTGATGGTGGCTTAGATCAAGGTGGCTGCAGCAGAGTGGAGTCTGAATATACATACATAAGTATTTTTAAGTTTGTTATTAGAAAAAATTCAAAATTAGAAAAAAGCTGCAAGGAACAGTAAGATAAATACCCATAGACCCTTCATCTAGACTCACTATATTTACCTTATCACTTTTTCATTTTTGAAGAATACCCGTATGGCTATTTTACAGAAGAGCCCTCAATTTGAGTTTGGCTAGTATTTCCTCAGAATTTTTGGCAGGATAACTCCAT